TTCCTTCTGTACTGGTTGATAAACCACCTGCGCTAGAAGGTACCACTATGAGTGCTAGAGTAGGAGAGCACATTTCAGCCTTGCATGCCTCTAGAAAAGCATTTACTGAAGCAGAGTGCTCAGAAAGGATAAGACGATCACTACGTAAGCAGCTCAGACCCACAGATGAGAAATATGAGATGGGTGACAAGGTGTATTACAAACTAGCTGAATGCACTGAGTGGAAAGGACCAGGGATAGTTATTGGTCAGGATGGGGCTGTTGTTTTTGTGAGGCATGGTGGTTGCCTAGTGAGAGTGCATCACTCTAGGCTTTCCAAGGTGAACACAAAGGTTAATGAAGAGCAAATGGTACAAAATGATGCTGACACAGAAGCAGGAAGTGAGCAAGGTATAAACAATGCAACTGGTAGTTTAGACAGTGAGCAAAATACAGAGAATGAACAACAGTTTGGTGACAGGGAAGCCAATACAAGTGAAGCGATCGATCCTCCAAACACTTTGAGTAGCGTAACACAAACTGAAATGGCGCATAGGCCTAATGCCCATAATAATCCTGCCCCTTCTGCAGGTGTGAGTTTAAAAACAGGACAGACTGTAACATATATGAACAGAGGTGACAATACTCTACTTAAAGCAAGAGTCTTAGGGAGATCAGGCAAGGCTACGGGGAAATATAAAACCTGGTATAACATGCAACATCTAGAGAATGATGGTAGTGATGGGCAAAAGGAATCAATTGATATCTCACAGGTTGATAATCTCAACATTGAAACAGAAGACAGAGAAGCTGATGTACTTGTAACCAAAGACATCTCATTTGATGCAGCTAAACAGGAAGAAATAAAGAACTGGCACAATAATAATGTATTTGAGGAAGTTAAAGATGCAGGGCAGAAATGCATTTCCACCAGATGGGTTTATAATCTTAAGGACACTCCCAAGGGTATAGTGCCTAAAGCCCGACTGGTTGCCAGAGGTTTTGAAGAGCTGAATATTCAAGAGTTACCGAAAGATTCCCCCACATGTGCCACAGATTCACTTAAACTTATGTTATCAGTGATATGTCAAAACCAGTGGGAAGTCATTCTATGGACATCAAATCTGCATTCTTGCAGGGTATGGAGCTATCCAGGGATATTTATATCCGCCCCCCTCTAGAGGCAGGATGTCAACATTGTAGAGGAAACTTCTGTGTAGCTATGCAGTGGGAGTCACCGACTCAGGAAGGAGACACGGGAAGAGCAGTAGCTTTGATGTCAAACACATGATGGTTTATTTGGAGTTAACGGCCGGAGGATTCACATCACAAGTCCAAGAGTCAGAGGTTCTGACTTCACGGTAGAGTTGCCACATCAATTCTGGAGAGCCTCTCTCTTGCCAGCCCATCTAACTGGTTTCGCAGAGAGTAAACAACATATTTGAGGAGATAGCCTAAACAGTGTGGGAACACAGAGCTACTTGCCTCGGACACTTATGACCTCGAAGATTTTACCTTGGAGTCCACAAATACAGAGAAGGAAGTGTCCCAGTGTACCCACAACACAGACCATCTGTATCCCAGTATTGACCGGTCACAGAATGGGAACAATAACATTATTGGCTAAGCCGCCTGTGTCCTTAAAGAAGGTAAACAGACATCGAGGTTTGTCCTGTATGTTACAAATTGGCATGATAATTGATGATGATAATTATTTCCACAACAAACATGTTGTATGGAAACTAAAGAAATGTGTATATGGTCTTGCAGATGCATCACTATATTGGTACAACAAAGTGAAGGAAATCATGCTGAGTACTGGTGGTAGAGTGTCACAGGTGGATCCGGCAGTCTTTTACTGGTTGGATGAGCAATGTAAGGTCACTGGGGTGCTTGCGTGTCATGTAGATGATTTTCTTTGGGCAGGCTCATCAAACTTTTCATCCAATGTGATCCCCCAACTGCAGTCTGCATTCAAGGTTGGGCGTGAGGAGCATGAACATTTCTCTTATGTAGGAATGGATTTGGTAACTGTTAACGGTGAAGTTCAGGTACATCAACAAAGTTATATCGAGAACCTGGAGCCTATTCCCATACAAGCAAGTCGGGCCACACAGAGAAATGAACCCCTCAACGAAACTGAGAGAGAGCAGTTACGATCAAAAATAGGACAGATCCTATGGGTTGCTAAACAGACAAGACCTGATGTAATGTTTGATTCATGTTGTTTGGCTTCTAATATAAAAGGGGCAACAGTACAGTCTGTTCATGATGCTAATAAGATTATCCGTAAGCTAAAGTCTGAAAAGGTGACACTCAGATTTCAACATCTGGGAAACAGTGATGCTTTGAACTTGATAGTTTTCAGTGATGCTTCATTTGGAAACCTCCCAGACGGAGGTACACAGGGAGGTATTTTTATAACACTTATGGGAGAAAGAGGGAAGTTTTCCCCCCTCTGTTGGCATTCAAAGAAAATCAGACGAGTGGTTCGCAGTACCCTTGCAGGGGAAACTCTTGCCATGTCAGATGGGGTAGACAATGCAATTTCTCTAGCCACACTATTTTCTGAGCTCACTACTGGAAATGCTGGACTGAATGCACCCCCTGTACTCTGTGTGACTGATAACCACTCTCTGTTCGATGCGCTCAAGTCCACAAAACAAGTCACAGAGAAGAGACTCAGGTTGGAAATCAGTAGCATTAAGGAGCTCATACAGAGCAAGAGGATCAAGCAGGTGCGTTGGGCAGACACAAAATCTCAGCTCGCTGACTGTCTCACAAAAAAAGGAGCTTCGGCTCTTGTGCTCTTAAAAGCACTCAGTGAAGGACAATGGGATCTGGGTTAAAGTGTCTGTTGAAATGGAACATTGAAAACTCCTTTGTTTCTTAAATGTTTCCCTACTACTCAGGAAAAAAAATGTTAAGTCACTGTATGATTGTTTTATGATTCATGCAATGTAAAGTTATTTTTGTTTGTTTATTTCTTTAAAAAGATAGAATGAGATTGTTAACATGTAATCTCTTTGCGTCTATACTACTGGCCATACGGTAGTCTAGGTTGCCCTCTTGAGGCTGTGAAACGCATGCGCAGTTAGTCTGTGTCGACCTGGAGCATGAGGTCCACTGTTCGTTAATGGCTCTGTATTGGTGTTATGCACGTTGATTGAATAAACCAAGTTAACAGAAGATAAACGTCGTGTTTATTTGTAGTAGACAAACAGTGGACTCTGGATTTTCTCCCTGATGAGGGGGATGGCGAGCTACCAATGACAACCTGAACACCTCATCTTTCCGCTACCAGTGGTAGGATTTTGAGGACCTTACAGGAACTGATCAAATAACTATTTTCTTTTGGGGGTTTATTTTAATTTTATTTGGGGTGCAAGCACTTTATTTAGAAGAATGTTGTTTATTCCTGTGCCAATATATATATTTTTTCCTTTATAAAATCTCAGTATTCACTTCATTCACTCTGGTGTTCGACTTCATTTATTACCCATCCTTTAAGAACCTGGAATACTGGTCCAGTTTTCACACACCTGACAGACTGGTTACACAGTATATCCCGCAATTTCATCAATTTAACTACTTCAAAATACTTCTGTTCAATGGTAACACTAAGATTTACTTACGTTATGGATGTTAAACACCACCAGAAGATGAACCGGCCCACATCGTCCGACCGGCCCATCGGAATTCGTCCCGAGCGTCCCGATGGCCAGTCCGCCACTGGGCTTCCTACATTATTTAAGGGTCTGTGACTGATGACTGCTACTTTTTTATACCAACATGTTGAAATCCCTCCAAAGCGGCAATTATGCTGCTCAAACCACTTAACCTACACTACTGGATATTTGTGAAGTGGAATAGTTCACTGTAAAAACACAGTCGCACTCCTAATGGTTCCCAAATCACAGTTTCCTGAACTGTGACCTTCTCATGTGTTTGCAGGTTAAACCTACTCATTTTTTTAAATGGTGCTAGGCTAGACTCTTAAAATAGTATGAATAGCTTTTGTACAAAAGAGCGCTTGGTTTTACTGGAATTAGAGCTGACAGGGAAGGAAAATCTAACAGAATAGTCTCTTCTGCAGTGGTTTTGGAGAATGCTTCCCTGTTTGAACCGGTGGAAACTGAACTGTCCCTGATGACTCGACCACTGGACGTTTTAATTTCTGCTTCTTTTGTGCTGGAGCCTGCTTACCCTGCCTCAGAGCTGGGTGGTAGTAAAATATTAAACAAAGTAAATCAAAAGACTGTAGCCAATGTATAGCCTGTATCTACTGTGGATAATTGTATAATTGCATTTGTAAGCTGTGGTCCAATTATATCTACAATCTAAATGTCTTCTTACCTTTTAAATATCATGGTTTAAACTAGCTATACATTACACTTTACATTTAATAAAGCAATACAACATCTTCACTTTTCATCATTTCTACATGTACACAGTTTGAAACTGCTAATCTTTCCACATGTAATACAATAATAATTTAATTTCATGAACAAAAAAAGTGGCTTTCAGAGAAAATAAATGTATCCTCTAGTCTAGTCTAAACAGTCAATTAATTGCTGTTTGTTTTTAAATCACCAACATGTCATTTAAAAAGGTTTTGTATTTTTATGAATGTCCTGTGACAGCTGTCATGTCTTTTCTTTCTGTGTGTACTAACAATAATCCAACATCCATTATTATGTAACCCTTCTGAATACAGATATTTATAATCTGAACATGCTGGAGTTATGACGTCACCCTGCACAGCTGACCATGACAAGCGTTTGGAGAAGCATGCAAACCGTTCTGTCATGGTAGGTTATTGCTTGTAAAGGGAAAACAGGGAATGTATCATTGGGATGAAATGTGATTGATGCATGGCTTAACTTGATATCCTTTTTTTTGTGCCAGGGGACAATGGGTTGTCAGAAGACTTGCAAGGTGGAGAAACTCCTGAAACAGTCTCATGGGGAAGTAGCGTGGAGCCAGAGACAAAGGTTAGCCCCAGCAAAGAAAAACAACCGGATGAGAGGCACAGATAAGGTGAGCGTGCCGTGTTCTTTGCCGGTGTGTTTGTGGTAAAGCTCTCCATGAATAAGCCTTGATTCAGTCGTGTCTGGACACTGGCGGGATCAGCACTTGTTGATGCCTGCAGCCATAATCTGACCTCACTATGCACTTCTTATCTCTTTACTGTCATTATGGCTCATCATTAACAAATGCAACCATATGTGTTGTTGTATTTTCATCTCTTATGAAGATGATTGAGCTACCAATCAAACAATATATTTGAATGCTTTATTTATAGTAAGTGTAATTTGCTTCTTTCCAAAGAGATTACCCATCATCGTATTATGCAATATTCATTTTTACTAAATACAGCCTTAAATATGGAGTCTCTACAAATGTATTGCACTAAGGAAGGTTTGCTATGGTTTTACATTAGTTTATAATATTTCAAAACCACCCCTAAAATTGTATGTTTATATTTGTCGATAACAATACCTACGTTATTTAATACGTTATATTGTCGGTATAGTGTCGGTTAAATTAATATGAATGTAAGCAAAACACTTTTGCTGACAGGGACAGACAGGAAGCCTTGCAGCTATTTAAGTGTGAAAACACTGACTTTTTATAACCTTAACTATGTGGCATTGCGCTACTGTGTAAAATAAAATTACCATTAAGAGACAAGTTAAGAAATAAGAAATTATTTAAATTGATTGTTGAAGCCTCGGTAGTGCAGAAATAAGATGGTACAAATTGAAATGCGGCTGTTATTCAGATGTGCAAAATGCAACTGGGTTGGCTTAAGAAGTTTATATCAGTGTCCATGTGAAGATTAACGTCAGTCTGTCAGCACAGGGTGGTGTTTGTTTTTGGATTGTGTTTGTGTTTGTGTGGCTATATAACAACCTGCTTGGGGATGTGGAAAGTGTTGGTTGATCTAGAAGGGTACACTGTAAGTCCTTTTAAGCTAGTTTGATTAAAAAAATGTATTTCTCCTGCTTCAACTGTGACACGTAGCTTGCAGCATCCTCTGTTTGGTGGTAAATAAATACAATTATGACTGAAGTAATTCTTATTGGTACGACTGTATTTAAAATGTATTGTATTGGCACACTGTTCTCTCACTGAGCCGTATAACTTCTGCTCACAAATGGAACAGCTTGATTGACTGCCACAGGTACCGTAATTTGCTTACCGGGACATTAAAGGTACTGTACTAGGTAATTCACTTTTTGTTATATTCCATGGAATGCTCTTAACATCCCGATAGCAATGAATACATTAAATGCTTTGACAATAAATACATTAAAAAAATTCATCTGTGGAAGCCGTAGCACTGTAAAAAGCACGACCAATCATCTGAGCCGGCCCGGCTAAAGTAACTGGATGGCCTACCTGCCTGTCAGCCTTCCATCTCGTGCACAAACTTATCTCGTGCCCTCATTGGTCATGTGCACGTTCGTGTGTGTTGGAGGAGGGGCTCTGTAAGGAAGTCTGAAGCAGCGCCATATAGATAGAAGTCTATATAAATCTATATATCAGTCTATATGGCGCTGGTCTGAAGGAAGGGCCGGGGCAGATTTTTTTCGGCTGCGTACTTTCAAATTCTAGCACACTCGAGCTGGTTTCTCCATTCTTACCTTTAAGAGAGGAGAGTGTGATTCCTTTTCAGCAACCTTAAGTGACAGTAGCAGTTTGTTCTCACATACAGCCTTTGCCTATTAAAAAAACAAAACACAATCCTCGCCGTGCTTGTTATGAAAGCACAGTCAGAGTTTTCAGACAGGACTGGGATGTTGAAACAAGAGGCTTGCTAGTGCTCAGTGGAGGCTGTTATGGATAGCACTGGAGTAAATCTCTCAGCAGGACAAGGAACTTAATTATGTCTGAAGTCAGAGCCACTGGTTTGTAACCACAAAGGGTAGCATTTATTTCCTGCTTAGGAATGGGAAAGACAAGAAATGTGGTGAACTCAACAAGAGGTTTTATATTGATATAGGATGCAGATCATTATATCATCCAGACTAGATATTATGAGATATTGGTAATCAGACTTTTGTCAAATCAGCATTGAAGACATATACTTTTTGTCTTAATGTGTCTTTGGTGCTGTTGTTCTATATATTCTTTTAATTTGCCGCCTCTTAATATATAAGCTACTGTACATCCTCGTGTTGTGGTTGGTGCTGGGCATCACACAGTCATTTGTTAATCTGCAGAACCCATCACAAATGCGAATGTCAAAACAGTTGTTCACACCTCCAAACGTGTCTCAGTCAGCTGTGTTAAGGCAGGCCTAGAGTTCCTGGTCTGCTTTCTGACATCCTCTGACAGCTGTCTGAACAGTTTTGGTTTCATTTAACATGCTAAGGTAGACAGGCATCCTCTGAATCATTATTAAAAAAACACAAGACCACCAGAAGCATCAGCTATTTGATTCACCTTGCATTACTCTGCCCTCGCTAGTTTGAGTGAGACATGCCTTGATCCCACTTTGCTCTGACAATGTAATAATTCCAGTTTGATGTTAACGGATTTAAAAAAAAGTTCCAGCTGTATTTTTTCATTTCCACTTTACTCACACTTTAAAAGCATGTAGCTACAGTATTTGAACTGTTCAGCTTTAATAAAATTCTATAGGCACAACAATGAAAGCCTACATTATTCTTACTCATGGAGCCATATCAAACTAGACATTTCAAGGTCATTCATTACTTCTACATTGAGAAAAATAGAATAAAAAGAGATCCATGAACACAGTTAAAATGATCTAAGAAGTGTAGTGCTTGTAGTTCTACTTTTACTCCTGTGTTGTTTTTTTTGTTAATTTACTAATGGCCCTGGAGGTGATCTAATCTACAGTTACCCCTAGCTGCTGACGTTATAGTGAAAACATCAGGTGTGTGTGTTGCTCATTGTAAAAGCTCAGCACCTCCCCCTTTTGTGTCTACACAGTTGGGATCATTTGACATCAGTCGTTTATGATGACGTGGTGCCTCAAGTGTTAAACAGCCACAGTGCAAAATAAGCTTCAATTGGGATTGCAGGGAGGGTCCCGCTGGAGGGGGAGGGAAGGCTCTAAACAGAGGTAAGGAGCTGCTGTGGTTGCTAGGCATCCACGCTGAGGAAAGCACATCTGTTTTGGGCCCTGCTCCTCCTCTCTCCTTTTCCCACAACAGAGTGCAGCACCACTGTCAACCACAGAGGGCAGCCATACTGCACATGCTGTGCTGCTCCCCTCCACATCTCCCTGTGGTGAAAAAAACCCAGGATGGCCCAAATAATCCCCTTTAATACCCTTCTGCACTTGATTTCCTGATCTGTGATTGGATGGTTAGGTTGTAACTGCTGTTTGTGATAGCTGATTGGTCTGGCCCACCATTCAGGGAGTGAGGGTTTGTCAAACTGAGCCTCCGCCCTCCGGGTAGCCTCTGTGGCATAATGACCCATGACGAGGCGAGGCAAAGTCCCAGGATCAGCTTGCTAAAAAAAAAATAGCAGAGAAACACTGCAACAAAACTGGGAGCAAAGACCAAAGGGGACGCCAGAGAACCTCACCTGACCTTGCCAGCTTCAATCATGGCTGCTCATCAGTGGCAGTTAGGTGGGCAGGCGGTACGATGGAGCACGTGGCTGGAAGGCTTTATTGACAGGATTGTCTGTGACTGCTGAGAATAGGACATAGAATGACCAATTCTGATTAAGGGAGACGAAAGACATCCTGGAGAGGGAGCGCTGCTCAGTGCTGCTGCGCACTGCACTGCCTCTGCACCCCTGCGTGCCTGTGTCTGTGTGACTAAGCGTGTGTGTGAGATATAAAGTGAGAGAGAGCAAGAGAGGGAAAGGGGGCGTGTTGATGTGCGTGTGTGTGTGTGTGTGCTCTGCTGCACAGTTACGGTAGTGTGAGCTGAGTGATGCTCGCTGGCTGTCTCTCTCTCTCCCTGCGCTGCCTGGCTGTGCCTCTTTCTGCCGAGCACTGATGAACCATTTTATGCTACAGAGCTGCCATAGCCATCGTACCGGTTCCGCTGCTTTTCTGTCCTTCTAACAACAGTAGGAAACACCTGCCACTGCATCGGCCCTTTAACCGCTGCTGCTAAGGTACTGTTACATCCACTGCCTGCTGTCAAGCCGTGTGTTTTTCTCAGAAAAGGATTGTTGTGCTGCCTCTGCTGCAGGATCCCTGTGCTGCTGCTGCTGCTGCTGAGTGAGGAATAAGGAACATCATAACATGTCTTAGTGTCTAGGACGCTTAGCTGCTACAATAAAGGAAATGTGCTTTTCTGGTTATTGCACATATGTAGCCTAGTACTGTAACATGCATTTCTTAAGAGAAGGATAAACCTGTTTTGGGCTGTTCTGCACAGGAGTGCAGAATATCTGGGTTTAACAGCACTGGGAAGAGCCAGAGGACATTGCACATCATTTGCATGCAATGAGGTTTCACTGTCATTTTGTTAAATTGAGTTCCTCATCCTAGCTGAAAACATGCTGCAGTGTTTTTTAAATATACTTCAGTCTGCATAAGAGGATCAATGTGTTTATGGTCTGGGTGATATAACATGATCTTTTGGGGTTGACGTTGGTTCCGGTTGTCACTGCCATGCTGTCAAATGGATCTTTTTGTAGAGTCTACATGCAGGGGAGATGCATAAGTCTTAACTTGAAAAATAAATCATTAGGGTAAAATAAGTTGTATTAATGATTTGGAGATGTGAATGCTAATTGGTAGGCAGCAGTCATCTGATATTAATCAATATGCTCCCATGGATATTTTCAAACATATGTGCAGATTATCCATCAATGATGTACACCAGTGTAGACTGTTATCAATATAAGGCTGTTAAAACAACAGCTTACACTCCATGGTGTTTTTTCCTCACATACCAGAAAATATAGTGTATTTGTATGTGTGCAATGTGCATTATAAATGTAAACTAGATTTATAGTAGGGTTATAGAGGGCATTTAAACATGTATGAAGGATGTAAGTGTTTCTGTATGTTGTGTCATCAGCTTCAGAGCTCACTT